TAAACAAACCAGGCTCCCACATCTTATATTTATGTTTATTTATTCTATTGTGGGGTGTATTTATCATCTTTTTATGTTATGTATCGTGTTTATTATATAATTTTGAAAAAAATATCATGGCTGGATTAATGAAAATGTGTATATTACCGCAATATACGACATTTAATGAGACTCGGTGAGTATTGTTATTATCACCACTTGTGCAAGTCGTCTGCTCACATCTCACATTTGTTTATTTATTCTACTGTGGGGTGTATTTATCTTATTTATATGTTATGCATCGTGTTTATTATATAATTTTGAAAAAAATATCATGGATGGATTAATGAAAATGTGTATATTACCGTAATATACGACATTTAATGAGACTCGGCGAGTATTGTTATTATCACCACTTGTGCAAGTCGTCTGCTCACATCTCACATTTGTTTATTTATTCTACTGTGGGGTGTATTTATCTTATTTATATGTTATGCATCGTGTTTATTATATAATTTTGAAAAAAATATCATGGATGGATTAATGAAAATGTGTATATTACCGTAATATACGACATTTAATGAGACTCGGCGAGTATTGTTATTATCACCACTTGTGCAAGTCGTCTGCTCACATCTCACATTTATGTTTATTTATTCTACTGTGGGGTGTATTTATCTTATTTATATGTTATGCATCGTGTTTATTATATAATTTTGAAAAAAATATCATGGATGGATTAATGAAAATGTGTATATTAACGTAATATACGACATTTAAATGACTCGATGTATGTAAGTTTATTTAGGTACAGGTATACATAAGTATAATTATCAGAGTATATATAAAATATGAAATAACTTTTAAAAACATTTGAAATTTTGGAGTTTCCAGACAAAATGGAGAGACTTAGTGCTTACTGAGCTCATGGAGAATGTAAACAAACAGGGTGGGGCACGGTGACCGTATTAGAAAGTCAGGTGGGGGGAGCCGTATAGTGAGTTTTGGTCATAATTTGAAATGTCCGTATTAGCGGAACGCCGTAAAGTGAAACGCCGTAAAGCGGGGCCTTCCTGTAATGGAAATCAAATTAATCCATTCCTGACACCCCAAAGTATGAACAAAAAAAAATTTTTACCACATGAAATATTAATTTTAATACACACAAACTGAAGAAGACATGCACAGTTACATGACACTTACCTTTATTGAAGATCTGGTGATGATTGATGGGATGGGAGGAGGGGAGAGTGTTGATGGTGTTAGTGTTTAGAAGGGAAATCCCCTTCCATTAGGGCTTGAGGTGGCAAGTCCTTTTCCGGGGTTACTTCCCTTCTTCTTTTAATGCCACTAGGACCAGCTTGTGAGTCACTGGACCTCTGTCGCACAACATATCTGTCCATAGAGGCCTGTACCTCCCGTTCCTCTATGACATTCCTAAAGTGTTTCACAACATTGTCAGTGTAGTAGTCACCAGCACGGCTTGCAATAGCTGTGTGAGGGTGATTTTCATCAAAAAAAGGTTTGCACTTTAAGCCACATTGCACACATTTCCTTAATCTTTGAAGTAGGCAACTTCCTCAATTTCTCTATCCCCTCCTCCGAAGCAGTTTCCTCAGGTGTGGCCTCTTGCTGTTGAAGATGATCTAGCAGCTCATCAGTGGTTAGTTCTTCATTGTCTTCCTCCACCAACTCTTCCACATCCTCCCCACTAACCTCCAACCCCAAGGACTTCCCCAATGCCACAATGGATTCCTTAACTGGCATAGGATTCCCAGGGTTAGCCTCAAACCCTTCAAAATCCCTTTTGTCTACACATTCTGGCCACAGTTTCTTCCAAGCAGAGTTCAAGGTCCTCTTAGTCACTTCCTCCCAAGCCTTACCTATAATATTTACACAATTGAGGATGCTAAAGTGATCTCTCCAAACTCTCTTAGAGTCAATTGAGTTTCTGAGGCCACTACAAAGCACCTTTCAAACATAGCTTTTGTGTACAGTTTCTTGAAGTTGGAAATGACCTGCTGGTCCATGGGCTGCAGGAGAGGAGTGGTATTAGGAGGCAAAATCTTGACCTTAATGAAGCTCATTTCCGCAGAAAGTCGCTCTGCCACGTCTGAAAGATGACCAGGAGCATTGTCTAATACCAGGAGGCACTTAAGGTCTAATTTCTTTTCAATTAGGTAATTTTTCACAGTGGGGGCAAATGCATGGTGTAACCAGTCATAGAAAAAGTCCCTAGTGACCCATGCCTTACTGTTTGCCCTCCACAGCACACACAAATTAGCCTTGAGGACATTGTTTTTCCTGAACACTCTGGGAGTTTCAGAGTGATACACCAATAAAGGCTTCACTTTGCAATCACCACTAGCATTGGCACACATCAACAGAGTAAGCCTGTCTTTCATAGGCTTATGTCCTGGGAGTGCCTTTTCCTCCTGAGTAATGTAGGTCCTGTTTGGCATTTTCTTCCAAAACAGGCCTGTTTCGTCACAATTAAACACTTGTTCAGGTTTCAGTCCTTCACTGTCTATGTACTTCTTGAATTCCTGCACGTATTTTTCAGCCGCTTTGTAGTCCGAACTGGCAGCCTCACCATGCCTTATCACACTATGTCTGCCACTACGATTCTTAAATCTCTCAAACTAACCTTTGCTGGCCTTAAATTCACTCACATCATCACTAGTTGCAGGCATTTTTCTAATTAAATCGTCATGCAACTTCCTAGCCTTTTCATATATGATCGCTTGAGAGATGCTATCTCCTGCTATCTGTTTTACATTTATCCACACCAATAACAGTCTCTCAACATCTTCTATCACTTGCAATCTCTGTTTCGAAAACAAAGTTGCACCTTTGGCAAGAACAGCTTCCTTGATTGCCGTTTTCTTGGCCACAATAGTAGCGATGGTTGATTGGGGTTTTGTGTACAACCTGGCCAGCTCGGAGACATGCACTCCACTTTCATACTTAGCAATGATCTCTTTCTTCATATCCATAGTAATTCTCACTCTTTTTGCTGTAGGGTTGGCACTAGAAGCTTTCTTGGGGCCCATGGTGACTTATTTTGCAAGTGCAATCACTAAAAAGGCTGTGATAATATGAAATGTTCTGATTGTATGCTTGGAAGTGACCGCTGTGGCTGGCTTGTAAACACTGGCACCCACAGAACAAGTGAGGCAGGCTCATGTCGCACGTGGACGCGTCTTGAATGAATCGCGTTAAGCGAGTTTTTTAGCGCTAGCCGAGGGGAAATTTTTGTTTTAAAATGTATCGCTAGGCGGATTTAACGTTATGCGATGCGTTCGTTAGGCGAGGGTCCACTGTACGTCTTACGAGGTACCGTGTTTGACATATATTTACTCATAAATTCTAGCAGCTTCAAATCAAGCAGGAGAAAGCTGGTAGGCCCATATGTGAGGGAATGGGTCTGTGTGGTCAGTGTGCACCATATAAAAAAAAATCCTGAAGCACGCAGTGCATAATGAGAAGAAAAAACTTCGACCGTTTTTTTTTTTAATTAAAATGCCGACTTTGTGGTCTATTTTTGTATAGTATTTATGGTTGTATTCTCGTTTTCTTGGTCTCATTTGATAGAATGGAAAACATATTATAGAAATAGATGTGATTTTGATTGATTTTACTATAAAAAGAACCTGGAAATGGTGCTCAAAGTAGGGGAAATGTTTGATTTTTGCTGATGTTCAAAAGTAAACAAATGTCATTGTCCAATAAATATCCATCTAGCCATTCTAATATGCAGTCATGAATGGGTTGACATTATTTGTACAATTATTACAGTATTGCAGTAGTCTGCATAACAGTAAATCTTCTATTTTTTGTTTGAATAAAAATTCAAAATAGAAAGCAAGAGTAATATCAGAGGCCTGGAGACGTGACTGATGAACAAAGAAAATGTTATTTTAGAGCCAGGAATGTCTGCATTGTTCATTCTGGACCTTATTTTGAAATTGTCATATTTTTTAATTTTCGTGAAATTGGCTGAATTGCAAATTTCTGACCACGTTATTGGGTAGTTGAAATCGGTAAATGGTCAGTTTCTTGTACTCATTCGATAGAAAAAATGGAGTTCTAAAGAAATAGCTATGAGTTTGGTCGACTGGAACAATGGAATTAGCTGAAAATAGGGCTCAAAGTGGGCGAAATCGCCGATTTGTAAATATCACTGAGGTCGCTAACTTTGCGAGAGCGTAATTCCATCAGTTTTCCATCAAATTTCATTTTTTTTGGTGTCATTACAATCGGGAAAAGATTCTCTATCATTTCATAAGAAAATATTTGTGTGTGTGTGTACTCACCTATTTGTGGTTGCAGGGGTCGAGTCATAGCTCCTGGCCCCGCCTCTTCACTGATTGCTACTAGGTCCTCTCTCTCCCTGCTCCATGAGTTTTATCATACCTCGCCTTAAAACTATGTATGGTTCCCGCCTCCACTACTTCACTTTCTAGACTATTCCACGACTTGACTACTCTATGACTGAAGAAATACTTCCTAACATCCCTTTGATTCATCTGAGTCTTCAACTTCCAATTGTGACCTCTTGTGTATGTGTCCCATCTTTGGAACATCCTGTCTTTGTCCACCGTGTCTATTCTGCGCAGTATTTTATATGTCGTTATCATGTCTCCCCTGACCCTCCTGGCCTCCAGTGTCGTCAGGCCGATTTCCCTCAACCTTTCTTCGTACGACAATCCCCGTAGCTCTGGGACTAGTCTTGTTGCAAACCTTTGCACTTTCTCTAATTTCTTGACGTGCTTGACTAGGTGTGGATTCCAAACTGGTGCTGCATACTCCAGTATGGGCCTGACGTAAATGGTATACAGTGTCTTGAACGACTCCTTATTGAGGTATCGGAACGCTATCCGTAGGTTTGCCAGGCGCCCGTATGCTGCAGCAGTTATCTGATTTATGTGCTCCTCAGGAGATATGCTCGGTGTTATACTCACCCCCAGATCTTTTTCCTTGTGTGTGTGTGGTGTGTGTGTGTGTGTGTGTGTGTGTGTGTGTGTGTGTGTGTGTGTGTGTGACACTAGGAGACACCTCAGGATTTGGGGTTGCGACAGTCAAGGGGTTAATAAAAATCAGTGCATGGATGGTGAGGTGAGGTTAACAAAAAATATAATAGAGAGAGCTAAGGAGTTGTTGAGGTTGTTTGGGCATTTAGAGAGGATGGAGCACAATAGGATGAGTAAGAGCATATATAAATCTGAGGTGGAAGGTGGAGGGGCAGGATCATACCAGGAAAGGCTAAAGAGAAAGATGGAAAAGGAGGTTTTGAGTGTTAGGGGCTTGACTGAGTGCCTTAGACTGGAGTGGAAGCTAGTGCTTTTTACGATTTGATGTGCTGTAGGTGTGTGAGGAAGGTAACATTTATGAAGGGATTTAGGGCAGTGTCTGCACTCTAGAGTGGAGGTGAGGATGTTGCAGTGTGGAGGGTCACCTGAACTATGATGTTAATGCAGACATTTCAGTCTTTATTTTCTCACCCTACCTCACCAAGTGACAGTTAAAAAAAATATCAGATTTTGATTTCCAGGCATTGTTTTAAAAAACTTTCCTGATTGGCTTCAAACTTTCAGAATAGGTTTAAGCAGTTTTGAAATTTGAAGAATATTTTGACTATGTAGATCACTCAGTCCTCACTGCAAGAAAAAAAAAAAAAAAAAGAGAACGTGCAATTTTGTTGTTCTTGAGTAACTGTTACTCAAGAAATTCTCAAGTACTCGCACACCAAGCCATAAACAACAACAAAGAAAAATAATAAAGTTTAAGTTTAGGAGTGAGAATATGATCATCATGATCATCATAAGATGTAAAAAAGAAATGTACTTTCAACAGATTTAATGTGTACTGATTCTTGACAGTGAAGACACTGCCAACATATTGAACAGTGTACTAGCTACACACCATAAGTAAATGTTATATAAAAGGGTCCACACCAATTCATGGACATCCAGAGTCTGAGGTAAAAGTTACAAACATATGTTCACTTTCAACGGTCTTCATGAATCCTTTCAAACTTGTCAAGTAATCTGAAGAGAAGTTGCAAATGTTAGTGGATGAGTTTGGGAGGGTGTGTCAAGGAAGTTGAAAGTGAACATAGATAAGAGTGAGCTGATGAGGTTATCAAACAAATTAGGTAAGGAAAAACTGGATATCTGATTGAAGGGAAGAAGTATGGAAGAAGTGAATGTGTTCAGATATTTGGGAGTGGACTTGTTGGCAGATGGGTTTATGAAGGACGAGGTTAACCATAGAATTGATGAAGGGAAAAAGGTTAGTGGTGCATTGAGGTATCTGTGGAGACAGTGTTATCCAAGGAGGCAAAGAAGGAAATGTATGAGAGTACATTTAGTGGTACCAACATTTATATGGGTGTGAAGTATGGGTTGTGAATGTTGCAGCGAGGAGGTTGGAGGCAGTGGAGATGTTGTGTCTGAAGGCAGTGTGTGTCATAAATATTATGCAGAGAATTCATAGTGTGGAAATTAGGAGGAGGTGTGAGGTTAATAAAAGTTTATCCAGAGGGCTGAGGAGGGGTTAGTAAGTAAGTAAGTAAATTTATTCAGGTATTCACAAATACAGTTACATAGAATTATCATACATAGCAGCATATGTGTAGAGAACCTGGGATAACCCAAAAAAGTCAGACAGAGTGAGGTAGTTTGGTCATTTAGAGAGGATGGAGAAAAATAGCATACTTGGAGGGTACGTATATAAATCTGTAGTGGACGGAAGGCAGGGTGTGGGTCATACTAGGAAAAGATGGAGAGTGGGGTAAAGGTGGTTTTGTGCACAAAGGACTTGGACATACAGCAGGTATGTGTGAGCATGCTATATAGGAGTGAATGGAAACAAATGGTTTTTGGGACCTGACAATTTTTTGGAGCATGAGTAAGGTAACTGGTTAGCCAGGCTTGAGTCCTAGAAGTAGGAAGTACAATGCCTGCACTCTAAAGGAGGGGTTTGGGATATTTGCTGTTTGGAGGGACATCTAAACTGTCGTATCTGTGCACCTCTGGCAAGACAGTGATAGTGTGAATGGTGGTGAAAATATTTCTTTTTTCAGGTCACCCTGCCGTGGTGAGGGACAGCTGGTGTTAAAAAATTTTAATTAATTTTTTTTTTATAAAATAGATGCTCAATTATCCCTTTCTGTCTCCAGCAATCATGTGTATCAGAGCTTCCCTGAACCCTTAATAAATGTTACCTTGCTCACACTCTGACAGTACGTTAAATAATTAATGGTACTAGCTTCCACTCCAGTCTAAGGTGCTCGACCGAACCCCTAACACTCGAATCCTCCTTTACCATCTTTCTCTTTAGCCATTCCTGGTATGATCCTGCCCCTCCACTTTCCACTCCAGATTTATATATTCTCTTACTCATCCTATTCTGCTCCACCCTCTCTAAATGCCCAAACAGCCTCAACACCATCTCCTCAGCTCTGTTATATTTTTGTTAACCCCTTCCTCACCATCCATGCATTGATTTTTATTAAGTATTATTTTTTTTTTTCCCAACAAACCAGCCATATCCCTCTGAGGCAGGGTGAAGTAAAAGGAAAAAAAAAATTCTCTTTTTAAATTTAGTAATGTATGCAGGAGAAGTGGTTACTAGCTCCTTGCTCCCAACATTTTAGTCATCTCTTACGACACACATGACTTTAGGAGGAAGAATTCTGTTCCACTTCTCCATGGAGATAAGTATTAATTACCAAAATAAAAGGAGAAATGTGGATCAGCTTCACAAAACTGACAGTCAGCAGTCCTTCTGAGTAGTTGCCAAACCTTTCTCAAGTGACACTTAGCCATCATTAAAAATTTGAAGCAGATTGAACTAGGCTTTCAAATGTTATGAACAAAAACATTGGAGGATAAAAATTGACAACCGGAATAGGTTCTTCATGTTGTGATTCTGAAAAATAAGTGAATCTATATTTAAATTCTTCATGTGCCAAGATGAAAAATGAAGATACTTTTTAAGAAAGGCTAAATATTTTAGAGATGTCATTACTGACTCAAGTGAAAACAAAAATGTAATATACATACAGAGAATTCGTAGTTTGGAAGTTAGGAGGAGGTGCGGGATTACCAAAACTGTTGTCCAGAGGGCTGAGGAAGGGTTGTTGAGGTGGTTCGGACATGTAGAGAGAATGGAGCGAAACAGAATGACTTCAAGAGTGTATCAGTCTGTAGTGGAAGGAAGGCGGGGTAGGGGTCGGCCTAGGAAGGGTTGGAGGGAGGGGGTAAAGGAGGTTTTGTGTGCGAGGGGCTTGGACTTCCAGCAGGCATGCGTGAGCGTGTTTGATAGGAGTGAATGGAGACAAATGGTTTTTAATACTTGACGTGCTGTTGGAGTGTGAGCAAAGTAACATTTATGAAGGGATTCAGGGAAACCGGCAGGCCGGACTTGAGTCCTGGAGATGGGAAGTACAGTGCCTGCACTCTGAAGGAGGGGTGTTAATGTTGCAGTTTAAAAACTGTAGTGTAAAGCACCCTTCTGGCAAGACAGTGATGGAGTGAATGATGGTGAAAGTTTTTCTTTTTCGGGCCACCCTGCCTTGGTGGGAATCGGCCGGTGTGATAATAAAAAATAAAAAAAACATACATAAGATTATAAAAGTATCCCAGAGATTTGACAAGGAAGGTTTTGTAACATCATCGATATAGAAAAGTGACCTTAGTTACAACTGAGAAGGAACAGTTTGCAATGTGCAGTTGAGTTCTTCACACACTGCTATATCAGAATTTATGGAAGATAAGTTCTTGTTTACAACCACTGAAGTTTCAGTGAATTATACTTTATTATATGTTAAATTGATGGAACACTTCAAGCTGAGCTCTTCTCCTGTGGCTACAACAGTGCCAGCTAAACACACACACACAGACAAACACACATGACTTTCAGTACAAACATTGTTTTTATTTTGTAATATTGTTCACTAGGTGGCCATCTTTGCATCATGCCCTTGATCAACATAAATTCTCATACTTTATGAATATTAAGATTTTTTCTGCATATGTGTGTAATAAACATTTTTCTCAGATGAATGAGGCAGTTTTTTCTTTATATTGAATATAATTCATATTTGTATTAATGTACAGTACAACATTGTATAATCCTCCTTGTTTGAGAGGATTTCTTCTATATAGTGACTTGCTGGACATTATATGTGATGGTTATTATAGGTCACGGGATCGTTGCAGTACCAAGAGGAAAGGGTCTCGGCGTTCGTGCTCGCGTTCTCGCTGCAGGTCGAGGTAACCAGGTTTAAGAAGGTGATCAATGTCCAGAGATCAGGGTATTGGAGACGTCACTTTGGTTGCCTTCACTATTTAAATTGTCCATAAAAAATATTTTATTTGTAGTCATAATTATTTTTCTATATACACTGCAACATCAGTAGGTGGAACAATGTGTACAGGAAGGTCCTGCATGTACAACACCTTTCAGGTGTTCCACATTTTCATTGGCTTCAAATTGAGACATTGTTCATTATGTTCCACACTGGTTATTGAAGGATGCTTCTGAACACTTCCTTCTATGTAGACTGTACTGGAGACTGCTGTGAAGGATGCTTCTGAACACTTCCTTCTATGTTGACTGTACTGGAGACTGCTGTGAAGGATGCTTCTGAACACTTCCTTCTATGTAGACTGTACTGGAGACTGCTGTGAAGGATGCTTCTGAACACTTCCTTCTATGTAGACTGTACTGGAGACTGCTGTGAAGGATGCTTCTGAACACTTCCTTCTATGTAGACTGTACTGGAGACTGCTGTGAAGGATGCTTCTGAACACTTCCTTCTATGTAGACTGTACTGGAGACTGCTGTGAAGGATGCTTCTGAACACTTCCTTCTGTAGTGGAAGAATGGCTCAGTTGAAAGCTAAGGAAAATATGAAGACTGAAAATGAGCTCTGTATATGCAAGGTGCTCCTGTATTTACATTATTGTAACCGTTGATGATAATTCTTGGGAAGAAACCTGTGCGTCCTTCAACACCTGCGAGTGCATTGCAAGAATCACATTAGAATTAGATTTTTACAGATAATTTGCGAGTTTAAATGTTTTACTTAAAGCTTTTTATACTGATCACTATTCTCATGCTGATATTTGTATGTTTAAATTTCAAAAGTTACTTCTGAGCATTAGCATAAAATACATACTTGCTTTATCTGTTAAATGCTGATACAATATTCTCTAGTATGAATAACATCAATAATGAAAGAGTTAAGGTACTGTTGGGTATGTATTGTTCATCATAGATGCTGCACCATAACAACATAATGAAGGTATGTATATGTCACTCCTTTAATATTTAGTTTATGTATATGGTGAATGTATGAATGATTAGTATGCAATAGTTGAGATGTGTGTTAAGAGATGTGTGAGTCAGCAGTGAATGAGGCTGTGAAGAACCTCTCATGACCAGTGTATCCTTCCATACAATGTTACAACTACATTGTCTGGTAATTTCTAAGTATAACAAAGCTGTGGTAAGTAATAATTTATAAGGAAACTAAGCAAGAAGCTGTGTGATTGATTGTCATAAGTTGAATACTAGGTGAGTCTTCATTTTCACCATGGCCGAGGTATTGTGTATGGTGCCTACCTTGTCATGATGTGTAGTGAAAATTTCTAAGAAATATTTTAAATGGGTTATTTTGCTTCATTACTAATATACTATTAAAGAATTGCTTGTTCTCAGTAACAAGGGTCAAGGTCACAAAGGTTGTATAATGACACTTAACATCCTAAATTGTTTTAACCAACAAAAACTTCAGAACCATTATAGTCATTGTAAATGTGTGCAGAGTTAATGAATATGGCAGTGGTGGTTAAGGTGAATCAGTGTTGATCCAAGGTATCAGCTGTTGCCCAGGGCACCACTTGGCACCAAGGATCAACTGAACACTCCCAGATTTCGTATTTTCCTCAGACAGACTCCAGTGCTTTTATTTTAGAACGTTTTTGTTTACAGTATATGTACTAGTGATTCTTATTTTGTTTGAGGTGTATATATAGACTAGTTTTTTACACAGTTAAATTTGTAGATTAAGATTTATTCTTTCTGGGTTTGTTTTTCATGGCCCACTTCTATGTAAGGTATACTGCCACTCCTGTGGCCCACAGCAGTCAACTAACCTCACTGGAAACAAGTCAGTTAACCCCAGTGGAAATGAGTCAAGGACCCCAGTGGAAATGAGTCAAGGACCCAGTGGAAAAAGTCACTGACTTTGGGTTATCCTAGGTAATTTACACATATGCTGCTGTGAATGATAATTTATGTAACTATATTTGTGTACCTATGTGTAGCTATGGCAGGAAAAGAGGGACTATAAATGTAATAATTCAAGGATTATGTGGAGTAAAATAAAGGTTGGATGTGAGAATTGGGTTATAGTAAGCATATATACACCTGGGGAAGAGAGAAGTATAGAAGAGAGAGAGAGAGATTTTGGGAAATGTTGAGTGAATGCGTGGGGAGTTTTGAACCAAGTGTGAGAGTACTTGTGGGTAAAAATGTCGTGGAGGGAGTGGTAGGTAAATTTGGGTCTCTCCTCCCAGACTTACATGACAGCAATTATTTTCCAATCATTCTTACTTCTCCTTCATATTCACCACCTCTTCGTAGCCCATGCTGGCAATTTGATCGAGGAAATTGGGACCTTTACTTGCAGCTGACTCCTTTTAGTGAGGTTCCTTTTTCGTCCTCTATTGATGAGCTTTTACACTAATTAACCTCAGTTTTAACCGCAGCTTTTCATTCTATACCCCAAACCTCGGGTAGGCATTCTCAGAAGTACTGTACTGCCTTGGTGGTCTCATGCTTGTGCTCGGGCAGTACGTTTGAAATGCACTGCATGGGGGCAGGTACCGGTACAATAGAACCACAGAGAGACTTCTTGATTTTAAGCAGAAGCTAGCGGTCGCTCACTGTGCCATCCGTGATGCTAAATGCACTTGCTGGGGAGATTGTTTTCACCATCACCTCTGCTTCCTCTGAGTGCAGTCTGGAAAAAAGTAAATACTCTCCCGACCAGGCTCCTGTTCTGCGGGTTGCCGGTGTTGATATAGGAAACCCTCTCGATGTTGTCATTGAAATTGGTAATCATCTGGTCCGTATTTCTCGAGCTTCATATATGCCCCTCGTTTCTTTCCTCAAAGTTTGCCAGAGAGTTAGCGCCCTTAGACTTTTCTTCTCTTAAAGAAGAATCTTATAATGTGCCTTTTACACTTCTGGAACTGGAGGCAACACTTTCAGCTTGCCGATCATCGGCAGCTGGGCCTGACAGTATTAATATTCGGATGTTAGAACATCTACATTAGTCAGTCCTTGCAGTCCTCTTACAACTCTTTAATCTTATTTGGTCACAAGGAGTTCTTCCCCAGCTGTGGAAATCTGCCATTGTTCTCCCTTTCCGCAAACCAGGTACTATGGGACATACCTCCCACTATAGTCCCATTGCTCTTACCAGTGCAGTTTGCAAGGTGATGGAACGTCTGGTAAATCAACGTTTAATGTGGTATTTATAGATACACAACAGTCTCTCCACTAGTCAATATGGTTTTCGTAAGGGCCGTTCTACCATTAACCCCTTACTACTCTTGGATACGTATGTTCGTAATGCCTTAGCGAATGACCACTCGGTTGCCATATTTTTTGACCTTGAAGGTATAATATTTTGACCCAAGCCCACTCCTTAGGCCTCTGAGGCAATCTCCCATCCTTCCTTAAGAACTTCTTAACTGACAAACATTTCTTTGTTCAGGTTCATAATGTGCTCTCCCCGGACTTTGTCCAAGGTGAAGGTGTCCCCCAGGGATGTGTTCTGAGCACAACACTTTTTCTCCTTGCTATAAATGATTTGGCCTCTCTTCTTCCATCCAATATTTTGTACTCACCTAATTGTGGCTGCAGGGGTCGAGACTCTGCTCCTGGCCCCGCCTCTTCACCGAGTGCTACTAGGTCCCCTCTCTCCCTACTCCATGAGCTTTATCATACCTCATCTTAAAACTATGTATGGTTCCTGCCTCCACTACCTCACTTGCTAGGCTATTCCACTTCCTGACTACTCTATGACTGAAGAAATACTTCCTAACATCCCTTTGACTCATCTGGGTCTTCAACTTCCAATTGTAACCCCTTGTTTCTGTGTCCCCTCTTTGGAACATCATGTTTCTGTCCACCTTGTCTATTCCATGCAGTATTTTGTATGTCATTATCATGTCTCCCCTAACCCTCCTGTCCTCCAGTGCCGTCAGGCCGATTTCCCTTAACCTTTCTTCATAGGGCATTCTCCTTAGCTCTGGAACTAACCTTGTCACAAACCTTTGCACTTCCTCTAATTTCTTGATGTGCTTGATCAAGTGTGGGTTCCAAACAGGTGCTGAATACTCCAGTATGGGCCTAACATACATTGTGTACAGTGTCTTGTCCTTACTAAGGTATCGGAATGCTGTTCTCAGGTTTGCCAGGTGCCCATATGCTGCAGCAGTTATCTGGTTGATGTGTGCTTCCAGAGACATGCTCAGTGTTAAAACCATACCCCCGGCCGGGATTGAACCCGCGGTCATAGAGTCTCAAAACTCCAGCCCGTCGCGCTAGCCACTAGACCAGCTAGCCACAATAAGATTCATCCAACTAGGTATATTTCTACACCATAGGAAAGTTAGCACAGGCACCTCTGTGACCACAAATGCAAGTTTTTACAGACGAATCTCCAGCTAGCGTGGCACAGAGGTGCCTGTGCTAACTTTCCTATGGTGTAGAAATATACCTAGTTGGATGAATCTTATTGTGGCTAGCTGGTCTAGTGGCTAGCGCGACGGGCTGGAGTTTTGAGACTCTATGACCGCGGGTTCAATCCCGGCCGGGGGTATGGTTTATTTGCAATTGTGTCATTACGATTTCTTAAGTCATGTTGACGGCAGTGAAGGGACTTGAGCTAGAGTTCGTCACGGCCACGCTAGCTGGAGATTCGTCTGTAAAAACTTGCATTTGTGGTCACAGAGGTGCCTGTGCTAACTTTCCTATGGTGTAGAAATATACCTAGTTGGATGAATCTTATTGTGGCTAGCTGGTCTAGTGGCTAGCGCGACGGGCTGGAGTTTTGAGACTCTATGACCGCGGGTTCAATCCCGGCCGGGGGTATGGTTTATTTGCAATCGTGTCATTACGATTTCTTAAGTCATGCTCAGTGTTATACTCACCCCAAGATCTTTCTCCTTGAGCGAGGTTTGCAGACTTTGGCTAC